CGTTGATTCAAGAGGTGTCTGAACAGGAGCCTTAAGGTCATTAAGTCTGGTGCGAAGAAAAGGGAATCTCTAGTCGGAGGGAGGAACTTCCCAATAGGGTCGCAGCACATCGCCTTTTTCTTCAACCTCAACAGTGTGGACTTTGCTACCTGCCTTGCACGGTGACGCTTCATCAAGACCCTGCCACGCTTGCCATGCACAGCAGGGGGGAATCAGAAACAAAATATTAAAAGAACTGATGGTGTGGTAGGAGTGATGGTGGCGTGCGGAAAGCAAATGTCAAAAAACAAAAGAAGGATGATGGCCATCATTTTGTGAGTAGAGGTGCACGCACCGAAGAAAATAATAATATATATCAATTATAAAAGCTTCAGCACCACCGAAAGTTAAAAAAAAAAAAAAAAAAAAAAAAAAAAAAAAAAAAAAACCATCTTTGGTGGATCAGCGCCACCGAAAGCAAAGAAAAGAAAAAAAAAATTAATAATAAAATAAAGTAAAAGGGAATGATGATGTTGGGAAGCAATGATGAAGGTAAAGAATAAAAAATAATAATAAAATAAAATAAAAAGGAATGATGATGGACGACATCAAGTGAAAAAAAAAAAAAAACACGTCTTGGTGATGTATATGTTTTATCTGTATTTAGCACAATACACTGAATAAAATAAAGCATGTCCATTAATCTCCGAGAAATTACAAGTGCGTACAAAAAAAAAAAAAAAAAAAAAGATGGAGCTTTCACAAAGGTTGTTCACGTGAAGCCCCACTACTTGGCCAAACTCCAGGAGCAGGAGGCACCGAAGATAGATCATTCGATGCCCCAATACTTGGTGGAACGCTAGATGACGTAGGAAAAAGGTGCATCTGGAAGAAAGACGCAAGCATTTGACGGTCACTTTGAATTCGACCTTAAGATTCTTGCATCTCATCAAACTTCCTCTTCATACCTGTCGAATAATTATTTGCAAGCACGTGCAAACTTCTATTTTCGTGCTTAAACTGTTTGATCTCTTGCTTGAGATTTTCCACCTCTGCCATCAATGATTCAACCTGACGGGATCGAGCAAGTAGGCGTTGGCCCATGTTGGACACAAAGCCCGCGCACTGAACACTGAGAGCTAGGGACTCTTGAACGGCCAACTCATCGGACCGTCCTGAAAGCAGCTGACTATCTTTAGGAGTCAGGAGGTTCTGAGCTACTATCGTAGCTGTTGTTGCATCCGTCATCATAGAGTCTTCACCTATAAGAGGGTCATTAGAAGATAAGAAAGACGAGCACCATACCTTACCCTGACGCGGCGCGACCGGATCACTGCTAAGACTCAAATCTAAGCAAATGTTAGATGGGTTAGATGGGTTAGCCATTTTTCAAGAAGTTAAAAGAGAAGGGTTGGATGGAGTAAAATCTCAACGAGCCGGAGACGATTTTCACGAATGGGCAATCTTCAAAGTATGCATGTTAGAGGTGATCGATCATCTCTATAAAAGGAGAGGCGACACAATCACCGATTCAGAATTGAAGAGACACCACTCTTCAAAGCCGGATTTTCCTGCGTAAAGTTCGCCAACTCTTCAGACACAATCTCGGCTTTCCAGATAAAGCGTTCAACTTTGTCAAAAGATCTCTGACAAAGTTGAAGACGCTTGGAGGTCTCTCGGCTTTTCAGATAAAGCTTCAACTTTGTCAAAAGATCTCTGACAAAGTTGAAGACGCGTGGAGGTTGCCGACAAGCGTGGGTGATAAAGCCGCAATCTCGGCTTTTCAGATAACGCGTGCAACTTTGTCAAAAGATCTCTGACAAAGTTGAAGACGCGTGGAGGTCATTGCCGAATCCGCACTACTACTTGCCATTACAATCCCTATATACATCAACATTCATGGCAAGGCATACACCCAAAAACGCATGACTTTCCTTCTCGGCCGAGAATGTAGCTGCAACCAAACCTCTCAACATGGCTGTTTTATTCATAAATTGAAGAGGCATTTGCTCAAAAAAAAAAAATCGAAGAAGCGTTTGTTCAGAAATCAAAGAGGTAACACCCTCCGAGCCTCAAAAGCTGGGCCGCTTATTCAAGGATCAAAGAGTCGTCATTCTTTGAATTTCAAAAAAAAAAAAAACCGGATTTGCTGGATCAAAACTTGTCAGTACCTTTCACATGTAACCTCAACTTTGCAGACATTACAAACAACTTTGTCAAAGATTTCTGACAAAGTTGAGAACGCGTGAATCTTACTGTTTCAATTACCCAATAGTTGTCGACAATGGTAAAGGAACAGTACCATCACTTGCTATTGGGAAATCCCTATATATGTCGACCTTCATCTTTAATGGCAAGGTAGACCTGCAAAAAAAAAAATGCCCAACTCTTCCTCACCTCTGAGGGCGCACTCCCAGCAAGCCTTCCGAAATACTCAATTTTCTTCTTCCTCAAAGAAGATACCAGATGCTTGGAGTACAGATAAGGCAGGAGGAAACGGTAGATCGAAGCATGGGGAGACAAGCACAACAAATATATGTGCTGATTCATTCGCTGCTTCTTTAAAAGCAAAAGTATCTCATATCATCAAGGGCGAAAGCAAAGGTATCTCATATCATACTTTTTCCCTATCTTTTCCTTTGCCCTTGTTCTCACCTGCCAAGACAAGGACAGAGAAAGCAATATGTCGGAACCTCCACTCAAACTTGCCCTGCCACCAAGAAGTGATGGTCCATTCAAATGCAAGGTTTGCATTCCACTCCTGTATCAAAGGACAAATACTACAAGAGAAGATGCTAAACCTGCATAAGGAAATACCACTTCTGCAAAGGGAGCAAGTAAGGCAAGTGAAAATGATACATCGAAGCATGTAGAGACAAGCACAACAAATATATGTGCTGATTCATTCGTTGCTTCTTCAAAAGCAAAGGTATCTCATATCATGCTTCCTCCATGTCCTTTCCTTTGTCCTTGTTCTTACTCGCATGGCAAAGTGAAAAGAGCAATCAGCCGGCACTTGGTGTCAGTCTTCCGATCCACCCTCTTCAGTACGAATTAGAAAGATTGAACAAAGAAACAGATCATCACATCCACCTCATGCTTGCCTGCCATGTGTCTGAATCTTGAAACCACTCATGGTCTTATTTCCAATTCAAGATCAAGCCTCGATGGCCCTTGAAAAAATCACAAGTTCGATTCAAAATCAAGTGTTCACCACCCTTGAATCAAATTCAACTCCAGATAAAAGGAGTAAGTTCAGACCTTCGGAGGAGACCAAAAGAATCCTCCAGCCCAGCTTAAGATCAAGCCTTGATGGCCCTTGAAGAAATTTCCAGCCCAATTCAAGATCAAGCCTTGACGGTCCTTGGGTTGACATCTACATTAAGGGACTTCAAAACGCATCTTCTACACGTAACAAGCACATGTCTACGACGCGCCTTGAAGTGGGGGCATTTGTAGACATCAAAATTTCGGTGAAATGAATGTTGACCAATAATTAAAATTTCAATGCTCACGTGTCACATAAATTTTAATGTAGCGTGTGACTCAACGAAAAATCGAAATAAATTGGAAAAGTCATCAAATAGGAGACGTGTCAATACCTGGCAGAAATGATTTATTTCATCTGATTATTTAAATCCAAAAATCAAGTTTTGGAATTCTATAAATAGGAAGCCAAGACATTCATTTTGGAGAAAGAAAGGAAGAAAGGAAAAAAGGAAGAGGAATTTACATTACACCAAAACCTTCAAGCCTTGAAACTCTAAAGCTTTCAAGCAAATCCCGAAGGATCAAGAAAGCACTCTTCGTTCTTCGTCAAATCCTCCTTCAAGATCAAGCCCCAACGGCCCTTGAAGAACTTCCACCAACTCAAAATCAAGCCCCGACGGCCCCTTGAAGAAAGTGTTCATCATTCATCATCCGTTCATCCTAAGATCAAGCCCCAACGGCCCTTTGGATCAACAACCTCAACAAATCCACACATCCAATCGTTCTTCAAGATTAAGCCCAAAAGCCCTTGAAGATCCGCTCATCCATCAACCTTCAAGATCAAGCCCCAACGGCCCTTGAAGAACTTCCACCAACTCAAGATCAAGCTCCGACGGCCCCTTGAAGAAAGTGTTCATCATTCATCATCCGTTCATCTTAAGATCAAGCCCCAATGGCCCTTTGGATCAACAACCTCAACAAACTCATACACCATTCTTCAAGATCAAGCCCAACGCCCCTTGAAGATCCATTCATCAACTGTTCATCCTTAGATCAAGCCCCGACGACTCTTTGGATCAACAACTCATCCACAAACCTACACCCTACGAAGATAGAATCAGAGGATCAAATTACAAAGAGATTGTAACCCTAAAAAATCATTAATACAAAAATATATTTTGTACACGTATTCTTGTTTCTTGTTTCAGGAATTTTTCGTGTTTACAACTTACAAGGGGACCTTTTTATTCCCCAAATCCCATTCACTAATCATACAAACTGGTTTCCTTCATGAATATATGATACTCAACTGCCATATTTGATTCAAATAAATCTCTAAGGCCTGAACAATGGATAGTGAAGGCCACTGTTTCTTCGTACCCTAACAAAGCACAAGTCGAGGTAACTTGCCTATAATCAACACCATCTAAAAGATAAAGATACAGAATGCATGCAAAGAAACAGCCACACCTATGTAATCAGTCAAATTCAAGTTCATTTCTATAGCTCAAGATAATTTGGCTCTCCATTTGGGAAAATTCTTGACCGATTTAACTGAAAATACTCGAGTATGCTCACGTCTACTCTATATTTGGTTAAAGAACTTCCAACAGTTTTAAGCACATTGAATCATGCAACTATTACCAACCGTTAACGAGATCCGTGGTATATTCAGAGAACAAATCTATACAAAACCACCTTCTACCAAAACACAGTTCATTATCTACATAAATTTCAAATTTCAATTCAATAGATTATGTAAAATACTCAAAACCATAATCGGATAGCATTCATAAGGTATAACTACTTACTTCATGAGAATATCACAGTACTCAGGATCCAAAGAAGAAAACATCGCATCCACATCTTATATAGCCATGATAGCTCTATGCACCATTATCCAATTTGCAGACTGCAAACTCAAAAAAAACAAAACACGAAAAAAAAAAAAATTAATCTCATCACATTCTTTTCATTCCACACCAAACAGAACAATTGGATTATAATTAAACACAGGGGGACAATTCTTATTGGTACCGAAGAAAACCACCGGAAAAACAATAAGAAAAGGAGTAAAAAGCTCTAAACTTACAATTCAATTTTCTATTCCATCGACTGATTTTCTCGGCAACCAAACAGAAGATTAGGAAAAGAGAACAGACAAACCTTGCAGCGATCGTCTTTGGGGTTGAGAGGCGAGCCTTCAAGAGCAGTTTTTAGAGCTTCGACTGTCTTGTACCTAGATGAAAAACAGATTAAACATTTAAGGTTTTTGGGGAATTATCAAATCATTAAGGGGTTTTATAGAAATTTGCATGTAGAAAAAGGGAAAAGGATTTGGAGTGATACTGTTTGAGTAAGCTCTCCATCTTTCGAGATTTTTGTTCGATTCTGTTGATTATGGCCTCTGCATTATCTGCTTCCACAAATTCTCCTGTTCCTGCCATCTCTCTCTCTCTCTCTCTCTCTCTTCCTCTCTCTCTCTCCCTCTCTCTCCCTCTCTCTGTTTCACTGTGATTTTCTCACCTGGCAATTGGAAAAGACTTGAGGAAACATTTTCCCGAGAAAGTGACATAGCTGGTGGACCAAACTGTATATTGGGATGGATAAATGGTAAATAAATAAACAGTGTCAAAAAAACTATTTAGCTACCCAATTCAATATTAGTAAATAAACAATGTTAAAAAACTATTTAGTTACTCAGTTTAATTTTTGGTCTGATTGGATAAATGGTCTCCATAGTCATAAGCTATTCAGAATGGAAAATTTTATTTGAACTCATATAACCTTTTTCTACATCAACTTAAACTTTAAATTTGAATTGTTCTTTTTACCTTATTGCATGATTACTATTAAGTACAAGATGAAATTAACAATAAAACTAAAATTTATCAACAAATTAAACCAATTAAATCAACTTAACAATTAAGCTTGTACAACTTAACAATTAAAGAACATGGATACAACCAATTAAATCACAACTCAACCAATCAATTGAAACACGAACTTAGACATGAGAAAAACTTGAATACTTACCCACAGAATTGGAACCTGATGATGAATTCACGAGCTTATAGCCTTCTCCTCTTTAGCAAAAACACAATGGCTCTTCCAAATAATAGGACTTTGGAATGCTATAAACTGTAAGCTTTGCAAGAGCAGTGACATAAGCCTTATATAGTATTCCTTATGCTATTCTCTATCAGAATAGACTTAGGATTCGAACCCCACAATTGATGCTCAATACACCAATCTTAAATGAGTTCCATTTCTGAGTTTTAATCTCAAAAAGATTACTCAGAATCTCAAAATACTTATTCCACAAGGAAACCAAATAAGTTATAGCTTTTGACTAAGACTTTTTCGTATCAATCTTAAACACAATAACTAGTTCCTTTCATAATTCATACTCATAATCTTACATTCTCCCACTTGAGTATGAACATGAAAAACCAATCTTTTAAGATTTACAGAAGTGAACACCGAGTCTAAAAATCAACAAGCTCATCATCACACACTAGCATACATTTCAAAATATGGAATTCAAGAATCTAATATGTACAACACAGGATCAATCCAACAATCACTACATATCTGATCTGCATTTCAAATTTATGTGAAATAACATTGAAGTAATACCAAAACATTACTCCCACTGATATTAGCTACTAACCATCAGAACATGTTTATCAAACTCAGTAGTACAACAACAGTTTTAAAGAATGCATCAGCAAAATCCCAAAACAATTCTCTAGCAATCTCAACTATTATTAAATAGACTTGTATTCTAGAACAATTAATTACATAACTGAAAAATTTGAACACGTATTGAAAACCAAAAATGAAATAAACTAGCAAAAATAACTAGATAGGCATAACTAAGCCAACTAAACTACCTAGCTTTGAAGATCTGCATCCTCAACAATGCTGCTCATTGACAAAATAACAGCAACTGTCTTCAAGCTTCTAAATAGTTTACTTCCACTTGTCAAAAGATGCCAAAACTTTCATCTGAGTAACATGCCCTTTAAACACATTATTTGGCAAAGCCTTGGTAAGAGGATTTGCAATCATTACACCAGTGGACAAATATTGTATATCAGTTTTCTCCTTTTTAACCATTTCTCTAACTTTGAGAAATTTCACATCCATCAATCTCGAGGCTGAAGTCCTTTTGTTGTTCTTCAAGATAAACACAGCAGCATTGTTATCACAGAACATTTTTATCTTAGAATTGTGAGGTTTTCATGCTTTTTAATTTGGATGTAGGAGTTAATATCCTACAGTGCCATATACAGTAACAGCTGATTTCCCTAACCATTCTGCTTGGATCTCTCATAGAAGAAGCAACTTGTCACTAATATTCTACAATTGGAAAAAAAGAAGATAAATGAATCCCTACATAGCACAAGTCCGTCATAGGGAAAGGCATGGTTACAAGTTCAATTATAGAGCCAGACCTCATTAAGGCATGCACTTCAAAAGAGAGTGTAGACAAGTTTGACAGGGTCAAAATATGATAAATTTGTAACATCTCAATTTAGTGGATGCGAACCACTTCAAATTTTGTGAATACGAACCACGTCAAATTAATGGACCAAATTCCGTTAATTCTTAAATTTCCCAAAATGCTAAAAAAAAAAAAAAAAAAAACAATTTCATTCTAAATAAAATTTCTGGCTCACCTGAAACCAAATTCAACTAAAACAGAATCTCTGATCCACCTGAGACCAAATTCTCCCCAAACACCACAAGCACCATTTCCAAATGCTTGTTACTGATCTCAAAACTCTCTCTATTGAAGTTGAGATGCTTTTCATTAAGTTTGGAGGTTATGAAGAAAAACTATCCAACCCGCAAACCATCGTTGCCAAAGAAGTGTATGCGCAAAGGGGCAACGGGCAACGGCCGAACTTATTTTCTTGTAGTGCTCCATCTTAGACATTCATCAATATGTAGAGTTTAGGACTGAGGACTTTTCAACTATATTCAGTGCATTGATTAATTTATCAAAGCTCTTATTTATCCTAATTACAAAAATATAATCAGTACAAGACATTAAAAATTGGAATTGTCTTTCAACAGTTTGGATGTCATGTATGGCCATATCCTTATTTCCACTGTTATTATCAACCGAATGGGGAGAGATTCTCTTATCTCACAAACTCATAACGTGACAATTGTCTATTAAAAGAGTAATGTTCGTTTTGAAATCGGGGTAAGTATTTATTGAGTAATGAAGTCATTGAAAATAAATTTGGTTATCTCAAAGAATTTCTCATAAAATAAAATAATGAATGATCAACAAAAGTAACAGCACACCAAGTTGGACCTTTTTCAACGTTGAAATGAAAAATGAAAGAAGAAAAGGAGGGGGAAATGAGAGGAAATTTCGGAGAGCACAAAAATGGAGGCAGGAGGATTTTCTCCCCTACTAATCTCTCTTTTCTTCCATCCCCCCCTACTTGAACATTATGATAAAGACACTTCAACATTTTATATTGATATTTTAATAGAAACGATAAGAAGAAGAAGAAGAAGAGAAAAAAAAAAGTGTGAGAAGAGGATAGGCTAAGCATCCAGAAAACATACAAATGTGGATAAAGCCAAAAAATGGGACTGAGATATCGGAAAAGAAGGAAAAATTACATATGGCCAAACATCCAGAAAATATACGATTACAGCAAAGAGCAAAATGCTTCCAATTTCCTTTGTTTCTTACATTGTAGATTATATTTCGAATAATGAGAAACTAATACTGCTGTTCCGAGAACGTCGGCAAAATTTGATGAATCTCGTAAATATTGTGTCTCATATACATTTCTTACCGCTTTATATATTTCGTATATATGTGCAAAATATGTTTTATCAAGATCTTTAATATGTAGCTCAAACATTAATAGAAGAAAAATGTTAAAAACTTCTATTTGCGAGCAATGGTTTGGATGAAAACAACAAGCTTACTAAGTGTTCAACAAAATGCATCAGCGAACAAACTGAAATTTTTTTTTTTCCTCGCTTCTCGTTCTGTTTCTATCCAAAAAAAAACTTGAACCTTTAACACTAGAATTCCCCAAAACTTGGACCTTTAAAATTGAAGGAAGAACCTGTGAGTTATTCTCACTCTCACGAGCTGGAAACTGAATTGAAGAAAAAGAGAAAGAAAGCTACAGTGAAGAAATAGAAGAAAACGATGCCTTCTTTCATAATTAGATTGGTGTCAACGTGGAGAGGAAACAGAAGCCACGGCTATCCTATTTAAATTGACATGGGCTTTTATACTTTTGGGTCTCATAAATTAAAATCGGGCCAATGAGGAAATAACATGGCGGAGGCATATCAAATTCATGCGGTCCAAAACAAGAGCGTAGACAAGTTTGACAACGTCAAAATATGAGGGATTCATAACATCTCAATTTAGTTGATGCGAACCACTTCAAATTTCGTGGATACGAACCACGTCAAATTAATGAACCAAATTCCCAACATATAAAAAAAAAAAAAAAATCATCCTAAATAGAATTCCTAGCTCAACTGAATCCAAATTCAACTAAAACAGAATTTCTGGTTCACCCAGGACCAAATTCTCCCCAAACACCACAAGCAACATTTCCAAATGCTTGTTGCTGATCTCAAAACTCTCTGTATTGAAGTTGCCTTGCCACACTTTTTCAACAACTTTTCATTAAGTTTGGAGTTTATAAAGAAAACTCTCCAACCCACAAACCACCGTTGCCTTGGAAGTGTATGGGCAACGACCGAACTTATTTTCTTGTAGTGAACTCTGTCTAAGACATTCATCAACATATAGAGTTTACGACAGAGGACTTTGCTACTATAACAATTTGGATGTCATGTATGGCCGTATCTTTTATTTCCACCATTCTTATCAACCAGATGGGGAGAAATTCTCGTATCTCACAAACGCATGACGTGGCAATCCTCTATTAGAAGGGTAATGTACGTTTTGAACTCGTGGCAAATATTTATTAGGCAATGGTGTCACTGCAAGTAAAATTTGGTTGCCTGAAAGAATCTCTCATAAAATAAAATAATAAATAAATCAACAAAAGTAACAGTACACCAAGTTGGACCTTTTCCAACGTGAAAATGAAAAATGGAAGTAGACCAAGTTGGTATTATTTATCCACGATTAAATAATGAATAATCAAGAAAAAAATTGCATGGAGTCCCCCTATCATCACTTAGGCCATCTCCAACCGAGTCAACCAAAGGGTTATAAGCCAAAACATAGCTCGTTTTCAACCTGAACAAATTATTGGGGTCATGAAGCATTGGAGAAATGGCCGTAGCCTCTCGAGCAACGAAATTTACTCTCTTCTCATGAATATTGTACCTGCAAAAGCATAATGCAATAAGCCTTCAACAGTCTGGCCTAGTGTGCTCAACAAACACTCCAAGATACTCCAAACCAAAAACAAAGCAGTTTCACATAGGGAACTGAAGAACATATTGATACGTTATCTTGCAACTCATAAAGGCTCTTCTGTCAACAATCTTCTTCTTCTTCTTAGCATGCAACTTTTTTAAAGAATAAAAAGCTGTCTCTGCGGATGATCAAA